TTTTTTTATGTGTGGTAAATACAAAACTTTATTAAAGGGATTGGAGAAAAGGTATGAATTTGATAAATGTCAAATTATATGAAAATATTACATTTTTTTATAAGATATTATGTTTTTTATTTTATTTATATTATATTATATTATTAATTTTTTATTCTTTTAAATATAAATTCTACTTTACATTCCTTCTAACTTGTAGATATATCCAATATTACTCTTATATATATATATAGGAATGTGGATTTAATTACACTAAAATCTCATTCGAATAATTTTTTTGTAACTTTAATTTGAGCATTTATATTAATATATTAAAATAGTTTGTAATATAAGTTAAATGAATAAAATAAGAATGGACAAAAATGATAGGAAATTAGAAATGAGAAAAGGGACAAGAAAAATAATCATAAAATAAAATTTTACAAGTTAAGTAATTATAAAAAAAAGAGTCGGTAAAGACTAATGTTAAAAAAAAGAAAGATAACTGTTAAAGTATGATTTTTTTATTAAACTAATAATTGATATTGTTTAACTTCAATTTTAAAGAATTATGAATTTAATTAAATAAAAATTAAAAATAATTAAGAAAGATGAAAAAAAAGTATAAGATATAAATTATTTGATCATTAGACTAATAACTAATAAAACTTATATATTAAAAAAATCAAAAGGTAAAATTTTTTTAGATTAACAGTTTACATATATATTTATCTATTTATATCTGTATACTATATAAAATGTTATACTCAAACATTAATTAGGCACTAAAATTTATCATTTTTATTTTAATTATAAAAAACATATTTTGTTAAAAGTTAAAAAGAAATAATAGTATTTTTACATTTAAAATATAATAAATATATGTATTAATGATGTTTGTTTTACCTTCTTATCTTTTTCTCTTCCACTTCCACTTCCACTTCTCTTCTTAATATTCTTAATTATCTTACTATTATTAGCTTTCATTTCATATATAATAAATGAATTAAATCAAAAAAAGATAAATAGATGTTTGATTTTTATGGGGGATAAAAACATATGATTAATTACAATTTTATTTATTATAATTTATAACACTATTATACTATTTTTATTCATTATTTATTTTTATTATTTTTAATTTTTTTCACCTCATGCACTTTTTTTTTTTGTTAGAAAAAAACATGAACAAGAAAGTGAGATCTAAAAGAGCTTGGCAAGAGCTTGGCAAAGAAGAAGATTTTTGTATGAATTGTTAGATTTAATTTCATGTAGAATTTTTTTATCAAAAATATTTTTTTTAAATGATAATAGAATATGTATATATTTGTATTTATTTTGAATGTAGACATACAAAAAAATGTTATAATGATAATGCAAAATATGTCTTTTAATGAATAAATTAGAAATATGAAGAATTTAAGAAATATCTATATTAATTCATCAATATTTATAAATGTCAAAATCAATAAAAAAAA